CATCCTAATTTTTAAACTCACACACGTATCATTGCTCAATTTGCTCGTGTATAAAAACATTCTAAACTTATACTCCCTCCGTCCCAGGGAGAAGTTCCCAGGTTGACTTTCACACATATTAAGGAAATAAAGTTACTGAGGGGTAAATTTTACTGTTTGGCACTGTTTCGACACTGTTTGGCACTGTTTCGACACTGTTTGGCACTGTTTTGCACTGTTTGGCACTGTTTTTATGTAGGATAATTTTCCATTTAAGAAAATGGGAACTTTTTGTTGGGACTGCCAAAAAAGGAAATTGGGAACTTCTCCCTGGAACGGAGGTAGTATTATATTATAATATAACATGTCCTTTATATTGCCTTTAACATTTGTTAATTGTCAACGTAAAAAATACAAAAATAGAAATATCTGTCTTTAAAGAACTCGACCACATATCGATCGTTCGCAAACATGTCTAATTTATGAGAAATTACCCAATATAGGAATAAACATAAACATAATTTCACAAATAAGAGTGAAACTTAAAACTTCTTTCAATAGGAGTAAACATTAATTTTGTAGCCTTAATACCCCTAATCTAGTTAATTCTAAAATATGACTTATTTGATCCTAATAAAATACTAAAAAAATTCTTAAATATTTGAAAAAATATATTGAAATAATAAAAATTAAAAAAAATTAAAAAATAAAAAATTTTAAAAATAAATAAAAAAATAGATAAACCACATTAAAAAAAATTATGCAGGCCTTTGCCGCAACCTCGGCCATCACGCAACAATGTCACCTCCGATCGGCGGAAAAAAATGTCATTTTATGTTAAAACTTCCATTTTTTTTTTTGAAAATGCCATAAAGATGGCAGTTTTGCTCTTTGAAAATGCCAAATTTTCTCAAAATCTGCCATCATGATGGCATTTCGAAAAAATGATGGCATTTTTTTCGGTGGTCGGAGCTGGTGGTGCTGGGAGGTTGTTGAGGTGGCGGCAGCCGCCTACATATTTTTTTTTAGTTTTTTATTTTTTAATTTTAATTTTTTAATTTTTTATTTGATATTTTTTATTTTAATAATTTTTATTTTTATTAATTTTATTTATTACGAAGTATGTTTTATTTGATATATTTTTGTGTTTTTTCATTTTTTTACAATTTTATTATCAATTAATGTTATTCCTTTTATGTTTTAATTATTAATGAAAGTTGTTGGGGCTTGAGTATGGATATACTCAGTGGCGTATCCACTATGGGGGCAGCGGGGGCAGCTGCCCCCACTCAACCCCAACCCAACCCCTATATATATGTCCAAATTTTTACGAGAAATTGCTCAAATTAAGAGTTAAATGTAGAAAAAAAATTCTAAAATAGGATTAGAAGTGTTTTCTTTGATATTAAAAGAATGAAAGGCTAAAAAATTCACTAAATTTTGTTATGTTTAAGACTGTTTAACTTATATTTAGGTAAATTTATTACATTTTATCTGCAATTACATCTTTACACACCCGTAATATAAATTAATCTTCTTTTTATTCATACTTGTACATAGATATTATAAACTAAAGTTAATCAAACAATATTAATAATGTGATTTGTTATTTGTGAAATATGAGACTAAATTGTAGTCAAGTTTGCCCCCACTCGCCAACTTTTCTGGATACGCCACTGGATATACTTATCTAAACACTAAAGTTACTCCTATTCAAAACATGGTACTCTTATTTTTGCATTTTGTCTATTTTTTACTCCTATTTGGCAAATTCTCTCCTAATTTATATGTTATTTTTTCTCAGTGCAACTATAATTAGTACTCCGTAATTAGTATAACAATTGCTTTTGTGGGATTAAAATTTGCACCCATTTACTCCGCATGAAATAGTAGCACGTACGCACTATTATTAAAAGTTTGGATCGGATATCTTTCGACATCTTCTAACTTGTATATGTAATTATTCAAATGATTTGTTTTCAAACGATTAATAAGAAACTTCTTTCAATATTATTCGTAATATACCCAATATTGTTAACAGTCTCTAGAATTTTCCATGTAACCTTGTAGCTCTAAGGATGTTCTTTTGAATTGTTTTCAGTCCCACATCAAACTAGACCAGATCAGATCAAACCAGACCAGACCGGACTTCCGTAGTTATAAAATACACAGAGACCAGACGTTTACCATATCAGACTAGACCAGTTCCGACCAGACCAGACCTGACCAACAAATTTCAGTCCAAAAGAAAACATCCTAAAATTTATACACCATACTGAATAAATGTATTTAATTTGCACACCAATAAAACTAATGCATGATAAAATAAACGTTGTCCCCAACGAGTAGTTTTATGCCGGAAATAATTCTTTTCGATGGAAAAATAGTTTTATGTGGAGAAAATTGTTGATTAGACAATATTTAAGTGATTAAAATTACAAAACCACATATACAACTCGTTTTTTTTAATGATGTTGCATTATTATATTGAGACATTTACAATTTTAGTCTCGTAACTTTTTTATTGTGTTTATTATTAATCTTTTAACTTTATTCGCTTGTAAATTTGATTTTTTTAACTAATAAAAAATTAATTAGCAATTTACGGAATTTTCCTTCAAAAAGTATACACTCCGGAAAAAATACGCAGCATTAGAATAAAGGTCGTACTCCAAAAGTATTAATATTTCAATAGTTTAAGGAATAAAAATGTCATTTTTACACTCATTTGGGGAATAAAGATGAAAAATTTAAAGTCGAGTAATAAAAATATCTCTTTAATAGTTGAAAGACTAGAAGTGGAGAATCTTAAATTGAATATCAAAAGTATCACGGATACCGTAATAGAATAATTAAAAGTGGATAAAATCTTAAGGTTGTCTAAATTTCCCTCCCATTAGGCGGGAGCTCTTGTTGTTTCTTGCCATGTTTTTGATGCTTTCTGTAATTATTTTGTTGTTCTTAGCACTCTAATACAATTTCTCTCAAGCCACTTATTTCACCACTCTACCGTCCAACAGGAAACATAGCATAAGCAGTTAAGCATAGCAGTCCATGAAAAAATTCGAGGCTTCTTAGTAGATGCAACTGAATTGATTAGGCAAATTGAAACTCATATTCACTTTTGATGGAGTTAATTATTATTCAAGTTTTTTATTTTGTTTTTTGTCTGTCGACTGTCGTCCATGATGGTGAAATGTCAAATAGTAATCAAACAAATCAAAATACAAAATTCATATTGTTTAAACAAAATATAGATTGCGCACTTACTCAAATCGCGCAACGCACGTGTGTAAACTAGTTTCCTTATAAATATGGACAATTTATAAAGCATGCATGTGATGCTACTGACAAAAAAAATGTGTTGCATTCTGTTTAAACCCTCTATTTGTTTACTGGAAAATACTTGATGTTTTAGAATTTTCATGTAGGGGCGGACTCGGGCTGGTTCGGGCCCAGTTCAGGCCTGGGCCCGACCGGGCCTCGGTTCATGAAAGGGGAGGCCCGGAACCGGCCCGAGTAACCCCCAACCCTCCCCCCTCACCCCCAAACCACCCGAAACCACCTCAAATGGCCCAAATTACCCAGCCCAACCCAAAAACTTATAAAAATTCAAAAAAAAAGCAAAAAAAATAAATTGGCCCGGACCGGATCCAAACCGGCCGGGCCGGTTCACCTTTTCAGGGGCCCGAGCCTGGCCCGGAACCCCAGCGGGTCGGGCCTACCCGGACCGTTCCCTGGCCGGGCCGGCGGTTCGGGCCGGTTCAAACAGTGACCGGGTCGGGACGGTTCCGCGGCGGGCCGCCCAGCCCGAGTCCACCCCTATTTCCATTCGGTGTAAACCAGCTTTCATATATTTTAAAGCTTTTTGCTCAAAAATAAAGTTGAAGGGCATGAGTGCCTTTTGGTGACAACTAGAGGGGAGTTTTGCCCCTTTTCCCTTTTCTTTACATTTTCTATTCTAAAATCAACATAATTAATGTGTCCCAATAAATATTGCAATTCTAGACGACAAAAATATCAAAGATGTGCTTTTCAAACCACATTATTAAATATTAATAGTACCTCGCTCTCAATTTCTCAGAAAACACCATCACCAGGATTTATCTTAAAAGAAAATTCCAACAAATATAGGACCTCATGTTAAACATTACTCACAAATATCTTACCGATGTAATAAATTTGTATAATATTAAATCTTCACTATTTCGTTCCACTTTAAAAAATAATGAAAAGACCCGTTAGTAGCACTTAAAAACGCTTAAAATATACATACCATAAGAGAGTTGCTCACTTGAAAAGACATGAAATTAATACTAATGATTCAATTTCTACTACTTGGATATTCAATATTCAAATTAAATGTATGTAAAAAATGTAGTATAACATACGCATTAGAATAAACATTAATACCTTTTACGTAAAAAAGTATGTTAAGGGTGCATTTATTAAATACCAAAAGCTCCACTTATTTTCAAATTAAAACAGTAACATTTAAACTAAATATTCCAATTAAATAACTCAAGCGTTGTAGTAAACAAGTACTATTGCAATGATTTCTATTGTTAGTGTTACTAAAATATCTCCCACATATTCTTCACTTTGTAAAAATTAACAAAAATGATCTTTGTACCCACTCTTATACCCACCTTTGTATCCACCTATGTTTGTGAAGCTTTTTTTTATTGTTTGTGAACCCCGGTTCACAGACAATATTTTGCACAGACAATATTTTGTCTGTGAAACGTGTTCACAGACAAAAAAAAACATTCACAAACATGGTGGGTATAAGGTGGGTATAAGGGTGGGTACATGAAGCATTGTTGATAATACTATTCATATACTATTTGTTCTTCACTTTTTGAATAATACTCTTTTGTAATAACATTTCCAAATAACCATATTGGGCACCGTTCGCACATCGTGCACACACCGCTAGTAACTATATAAGCTTCTCCATACATGTATATGTCACATAATATTCTAAAATCAATATTACACCATAGTACAATAAATCAATACTCAGAATCCAAAAATTGATTGTTAATTTCTTATAATTCAAATATCACAAATCACGGAATCAAAGAACCATATTCACAAAAGTAGGTGGTTATACTTGCTATTTCATCTTTCACAAAAAGAAATTGCAATTTTTTAATTACCTCAAATCACTTGATTTTTGAAAGTTGTGAAATTGAGGCTTGAGGAGCTTCAGTTTCAGATCACAGCTGACCGCTGTAGCTATAGCCTTCTTCTCTGCTTCAGCAACCCTATATCAGTATCATAGTTCATCCAAAGCCTTCTGCATCGAAACGGTGCTGTTACTTTTTCTCTCTTAGAAACAAGTTGTTCACTCGCTGCCTTGCTGGACGGAAATGGACACTTGGACCTTGCTGATTTGCTGATTCTGCAGCAACGTTTCTATGAAGATTATGAGGGAATGGCTTACCCATGAGGTAGCCGTATGCATGTATATATAATAATCCAAGAATAAGAAATTACAAGAGTATCCCTACATTATTATCTATTACACCCCCTCAATCTGTGCAGAGGGAACAACGCGCAGATTGGACTTAAGAAAATTAAAACGTTGACTAGACAAGTTTTTAGTAAAAATATCGGCTAACTGAAACTGAGTAGGAATATATTTAACCACTAAATCTCCATGAGCCACACGTTCGCGCACAAAATGATAGTCAATTTTGATATGTTTGCTCCGATCATGCTGAATGGGATTGACCGTAAGGTAGGATGCGGAAACATTGTCACAGTAAAGCCGAACAGGTTGAGAGATGAAGAAACCCATGTCTGCGAGCAAGGAGCGAATAAATAATGTATCCTGAACCGTATATGCCACAGCTCTATATTCAGCCTCAGTGGAAGACTTCGAAACTGTTGGTTGCTTTTTGGACCTCCAAGATATTAAATTATCACCCAAGAAAATAGCATAGCCAGTGGTAGATCGACAGCTATCTGGACAGCCGGCCCAATCTGCATCAGAGTAAGCAATAACAAGAGAGGGATCACCACCCTTGCGCAACCATAAGCCCTCCGTGAGAGTACCCTGCAAATATCTATAAATACGCTTCACAGCTAAAAGGTGAGTAGTGCGAGGGGCATGCATAAACTGAGAGACTAAGTGAACAGCATAGGTAATATCTGGTCTAGTAATAATCAAGTACTGTAAGGCACCAACCATACTGCGGTATTCTGTACCATCAGCGAGTAATTCTCCATCAGTTAGAGACAAAGTGGTACGGGTAGGAAGAGGCGTGCGAACTGGGGTGACTGTATGTAGATGAAAACGGCGCAAGAGATCAGAAATATACTTTTGTTGAGAGAGAAAAATACCTGTAGGTGTACGGACAGTCTGAATCCCCAAGAAAAAATGAAGATCACCCAGATCTTTCATGGCGAAAGTCTGAGAGAGTAACCGAATAATGGATTGAACTAAGGAAGAAGAATTGCCTGTAATAAGAATATCATCGACATACAGTAGGATATATACGCGATGAGAACCCTGGCAATAAATAAACATGGAAGAATCAGACCGACTCTGTAGAAACCCATGGCTAAGAAGAAAGCCACTAAACCTATGAAACCAAGCACGTGGAGCTTGCTTGAGGCCATACAAGGCCTTATGAAGACGACAAATGTGATGAGGAAAGGAAGGATGAATAAAACCTGGTGGCTGACGCATGTAAACCTCCTCAGTTAAGTAGCCATGTAAGAAGGCATTTTTGACATCTAATTGACGAACCCCCCAGCCAAAAGAAGTAGCGAGAGAAAGTAAAAGACGCACAGTAGTGGGTTTTACAACCGGACTAAAGGTTTCAGAAAAATCTACCCCAGCCTGCTGATTAAATCCCTGAGCGACCAAACGAGCTTTGTGACGTTCTATAGACCCATCAGAATTATATTTTGTCTTATAAACCCATTTACATCCAACCACATTTTTTGTGCTGTCATGAGGTACTAAATCCCAAGTCTTATTAGTAATAAGAGCATTAAATTCTTCAGCCATAGCCGCCCGCCATTTTAAACTTTTATTTGCTTGAGAAAAACAAGTGGGATCGGGGGGACACTCCACAGAGGTAAGGGATAAAATAGTTCGGGGCTTATATATACCATCCTTGGCCCGAGTTCGCATTGGATGGACATTTTGGACAAGGGGAGGAGTCGGATGGATACTGACCGGAGGGGTAATGGGTGGACTAGGAGTCGGTGTATGTGGTGGACTGGATGGCGGTGTTGGTGATGGGCTGGTAGGTAAACAAGCAGGTGGACTGGACGGGTTAGCATCAGGGATATGGGCTGGGGAAACCGAGACAGTGGGCTGAGCCGAGGAAGTGACAGGGCTGGACGAAGTAATTGGATAACCTGGTGCATGTGATGTGGTTGTATACTGGGAAGGTAACACAGGTAAGGTAGTAGAAGGAAATGGAGATTGTACATTGGTGGGATAGGAGGAAAGGGGGGAGGAAAGACTCGACTGAGAGGTATCTGGAGAGGATGTGGGTGTACAGGAGGAAAGAGTCGGATAGGGAAAGCTAGTCTCATGAAAAACGACATCACGACTAACATAAACCCGACCGGTGGTAGGATCAAGGCAACGGTAGCCCTTATAGCCCGGAGCATAGCCAATAAAAACACAAGGAGTAGACCGCGGTGATAGCTTATTACCCGAGGTGGCAACTTTATTAGGAAAACAGGCACAACCAAAGACACGCAAGAAAGAATAGTCAGGGGATTTTTGAAAAATTTTCTGATAAGGACTGAGACCTCGTAAAAGTGGCGTGGGTAGACGATTAATTATATACGTAGCAGTGTAAAGTGCATCAACCCAAAAAGAGGAAGGAAGATGTGCATCAATAAGCATAGTACGTATTAATTCTAAAAGGTGGCGATGTTTCCGTTCAGCCACGCCATTTTGGGCAGGGGTATCGGGACAGGACTTCTGAAATAGAATGCCACAATTTAAAAAATGATTAATAAATTGATGATTATTAAATTCACCCCCACCATCACTTTGAAAACACTGAATTTTGCAACCCAAAAGATTTTCTGCTAATTTCTGAAAATTGCAAAAATGGGTAAAAACCTCAGACTTCCTATGCATGGGATAAACCCAAGTAAATCGCGAAAAATCATCAATAAAACAGACATAATATTTATAACCAAGATGCGATAAAACAGGTGACTGCCAAACATCAGAATGAATTAATTGTAAGGGAGCAGTAGTAGTATGTAAAACATCCTGAAATGGTAATCGATGGGATTTACCCAGTCTACACGAAGTACATAAATGATGAAAATGACTAGAAGAAAAAATAGAGCTTGTGCGCCGAAGAGTAGACAATATGCTATCACCACAATGACCTAAGCGCTTGTGCCATATCGGGCCTGGTGCAGATGAGGTAAAAAGGGCTAAGGGTGTAGTGAAAACTGAGAAGGGATAGGTGCGGTCTTTATTGGAAGCGTGGAGTAGAGTGGCCCCCGTTTGATTGTCCTTTACAGAAAAAAAAGATTTGTTAAAAATTGCAGTGCAATCATTATCCTCACACAATTTCTGTATAGATAGCAAATTAAATTTTAATTGAGGAACATGATACACGGATTTTAAAATCAGTGGGCGACCTAACGAAGGTAAATGCACATTACCAATTGTAGACACAGATAAATTAGCACCATTAGCTACCTGCACATTTGTGGGGCTTGTAAGACTGGATTTAGAAAGCAAAATACCTTCGTTTGGTGTCATATGAGCGGAGGCACCAGAATCGGGATACCATGTTGCTTCATTGGTCTCACCGGTTGGTAAAGCAGCAAGGGCTGGAGTAGACCCCGAAGTAAACTTGGAACAAGTAATGGCGGAGTGGCCCAGAGTATAGCATAATTGACAGATAATGGGGGGCTGGGGAGAGACAGAATTATGATCAACTGATGGAAAACCTGCACTGTTAGTATGAGTACCGCGAATATAATATGGAGACAGACGAGAATGTACTAGAGAGATATTACCCATACCTGCACTTGGAACTCCCGGAGTGTATTGTGCATGCGGCCCGCCAAAGTGGAAGTCAAACCCGCGGGGTGCTGCAAACTGGAAAGGTGGCTGAGCAGGATAACCGGGGTAGCCATACCCTCTGCCACGCCCCCGGTGACCTCTTTGTGCGCGCTGACCTCGACCCCCGCGTCCACCACGCGGCGAGGCAGAATGTCCTCCACGTCCTGAGGACTGCTGCTGGCCGCGGGAGTGTGGTTGTTGTCCTGAGGAATGCTGCTGCTGGCCATGTGCAACAAAAGCTTGATGCTGCGTGAAAGAGTCCCCTGTGCCACGCATATATTGCAGCCTGTGTTCTTGTTGAACCAGAATAGGCTCCAGTTGATCAAAAGTGAATGTAGGAGGCATATAGGACAACCCGCCAAGTATGGATTCAAACTCCGGACCAAGACCGAGTAGGGCATATTCAATGAGGTCTTTATCACTAACCGGGGAATTGATTAGTGCAAGATTATCCGCAGCCACTTTAATTTCCCTAAGGTATTGGTCCATAGTTTGAGTAGCTTTCTTCTTAATATGGGATAGGTGACGCTTGATTTCCATAGAACGGGCTGTGCTTGCGGACATAAATTTGTTCCGAAGACGTTCCCAAATTTGAAAAGAAAATTTGAGACCATGCACATCAATCAAGATATCGCGGGAAAAAGTAGCAAAAAGCCATGAACGGACCGTTTGGTCAATTTTTAACCAATGTTGATAATCATGATTAACAACCTCCCTCCGAGAAGCACCCAAAATAAACGGAGAGGGAATAGGAATTGAACCATCCAACACGCCCAACAAACTATGTGAGACTAAAAAGGATTCAAATTGGGTTTTCCACGGTAAATAATCTTCAACCGATGCCAATCGAGTAGTGACAATATTGGTGACATTCGGAGTGGAGAATGTCAATTGTGATGCCATAGTAGAGAGATAGGAAGGAAAATTACCAGTGCCTGAAGAATGAGGCAGAGACATAGATGAAGAACCGGCCTCAAACTGACCCAAAATACCGGAGCTCAAGGGCTGATGAAAATTGCCAGGTGCGGACGAAGGAGACGAGACAGTAAGTGTAGGTTGCCAAGTGAAGGGTTCTGGCATCTGGAACAATGAATAAGAAGAGACATGTGGGCTGTTGGAACTGTAAATCACCGAACTGGGAATCACGGTCTGCTCCTGCATGACGGACGACATGGGGCGACTCATGATGGGCTGCTCCGTCTCAGACGATCTGGGCGCCTGTGGGTGGGAGGAGATCGCAGAAGTAAGAAGATGATCACCACCAGAAGAAGCAGTAGGTTCGGCCGAGGTGGAGAAGACGGCCGATGACATGGTAGCGGAAGATGTGTTTTTAGGGTTAGGAACGTGAAGCCTTGGCGACTGATACCATATGAAGATTATGAGGGAATGGCTTACCCATGAGGTAGCCGTATGCATGTATATATAATAATCCAAGAATAAGAAATTACAAGAGTATCCCTACATTATTATCTATTAGTTTCCCCCCATTATTGACTAGACACAATGGTGTCCTTGCAACCTAGCTAACCCAAATTAAATATATATAATCTGCTGACGGTTGAGTGCGCTCCATCCTCGGGGAAGCACAGCAGCAAGGAAGAAGATAAGCCCGGGGCGCCGTATAACAGACCTATATATATACCTTATGTTTTCCGGCGAGGGGGGGGGGGCACCGGCTTGCACCCCCTGGTTCCGCCACTGCTTCCTTGTATACCCGTGTTCTCCACTTTTGAGACTTACCTTCTTGAAGGTGATTTCATCACTTTAAAAGCCTTTCCTTCCATGCACAGATATTGGAATCCTCTCCATGATTGCAATCGATCCTTTCACATTATAGCCTTGGCATATGAGGACCACATTAAAGATAGATTATATGGTTACTCAAACACTTATTTGTTTGCTAACAAATATGGAAAGCATATGATCACTAATATATGGTCAATCAATTGTGCGATTGGCATCTAGAACCTGTTCCACCCATAGTTCAATACTAATAAAAGAACAGTTATAGAATCATGTAACTTTACAGTTTGGCACCTAGAATTAGGATGTTTTCTTTTGGACTGTTTTCAGTCCCAGACCAGACTTAAACAGATCAGATCAGACCAGACCAGACTTAAACAGACCAGACCAGACTTGGACAGTTATAAAATACACAGAGACCAGACGTTTACCAGACCAGACCAGACCAGACCAATTCAGACCAGACTAGACTTAAACAGACCAGACCAGATCAGACCAGACCGCAAATTTCAGTCCAAAAGAAAACATCCTTAGTCATCAACAAAACAAAACATAATATCCAACATCTATGTTTCTATTAAGTACTGCCTGTTTCTATTAAGTACTGCCTCTGTATCATAATATATGCCACATATTCCTTTTGAGGCAGTATCAGAATATCAGTCACATTTTCATTTTTGGAAAGAAAAAAACAACAACCCAAAAGCAGCTACAGTACACTTTAGTAAAGTATACAAGTAGTACATTACTGCTATAATGTACAGTACATAAACTTATAAGTTATCTTAAATTACCTGGAAAGCCTACTGAAACACATATTATGACACGGAGGGGCCAGACTAGTACAGAACAAATTTTCTCAAATATTTTGATCGAACACATTGCACGAACAAATTTTCTTCCTGTAAGCTGTAATAGGACTAAGATAGTAAGATGTCAGTATTTACTGCCATCTTTTAGTCATGACTGTCAAAAAGTTGCAGTACTATGCATTCTACATGGCAGTATTTATTATAATTAATGGCAGTATTTTTCAATCAAGGCAATATTTTTCAATCATGATAGTAACGACTCCTATTTCAGGAAGAAAAACATAGTGATCCTATTTTGGAATTTTCAAAGTTGTTTACTCCTATTTAGGGCAATTTTCCCTAAATATAAATGTGGTTTGATGATGGCATTATAGGCCTGACTTTTTTCCACCATAAAAAATCTTTAATGTTTTTCTTGAGGTGGATATTTTTCAAGCGGTCAATGCGTTAAATATATTGTTGTTATACAAACGTGACTTTTAGATGCAATATCTTGAACAGTTAATTTCACTGTTAAAAATGACAGAAGAACTTGATTGATACAGAATAAATAGAATAAAAACTAAAATGATTGATTTATTAATTAGAAACGAAAACAATATGATGGTGATGGTTAAAGACATTTGTGCATTCGTCCCATTCCTTTATATAGCCATGCATGTATTGACAGAATTGGGGTGAAGTGGGGTTGAAGTGGGTGATTGACCTCCTGCCCCTTTAGATTCTCCCCTGGAAACCTACACATGTTATCTCAATTGATGAGCTAAGTAGCTAACTCACTAACTCAAAACATAACACATCTACATAACGAGTCGCACATTTTCTAATTTCATTGATTTTATCAGAACGTAAAAAAGATCATCGATAAAAGGAATGTACAAAATGTTTTGAGTATTCCTATAAAAGGTACAGAACTCTTTTGTTCTCCTAATGTATTTATTCTATTAAATGGGCATACATTAAATTTTAAATATGTTTTCTCTATGTTTTCACAATTTAAAAGCAATTAGAGTTAGATGTTTCATCAGTTCTATCTTTTTCTTTGTTTCATCTGCAGTGCTTCTTTTCATGCATGCGACCCATTATAAATTGGAATTGCAAGCAACAAATACAAAATTAAATACAAACCTAATGAAACAGTTGAACGTTATAAAGAAATACAACACAATAATGAGTTTGAATGAGCAGCGAATAGATCCAAACAGGGAATTGGGACTTACAATGCAGCTGAGGACAGCCAAGAGAAGCTTTATCCCTTGTTAGCTGCTGTCCTCTGGAAGGCAAGATGGTGGGTGTTCTACCCGGTTTTTGTATAAAGAGCAGGTCTAAACATCAGTGTTGTATTGTTGCACCTGCAAGCAGAATTGAAGTAAGACGTTGTGCCAAATATGAACTTAAATATGCAACTCAATATTAAGTTGTTGCGCTCACAATTATGATAGTCATATTCTGTTGCTGTAGAACCATTCCAATATTGTGGTCATTTACTAATAATACCATAATGGTATCGGATAGGGGAAGCAGCGCCGGAGCAATTTACCAATATTCATTGCACGAACACGCCCCACTTGTAAAATGATGGAAACGGTTTGAATCTCTAACAACAATCTGTTTCTGAACAAGCCGTGAAGCTAATTTCATAAAGTTGTGGCAATCTAAACAAATACGGATATTCTTCATTATCCTAATGACACCCGATTTGCAGTGAGGGTCATCAGAATGCATCAATACAAACATCAGAGCCAGCTTCTCACTATGGTAGTACAGTTGTTCCTCTTTATGCTCTTCTTCTATGTCATGCAGGACCAGAGTTGTCATAGGAGTATACCCTAATTTCTTCATCTGTTTAACAAGATCCTGAAGACTAGCACGGATAGCTTTTCCAAGGTTGTGTCTTTGGCCACCAGAAGCAAACTCATGTATCCTGCCACCAATTTCAGTCCAGCTCAATCCGGGCTCCTTTCGAACTCCAGCCGCTATCATTTGCTTCCTTAGGAGACATGCTTCATGAAGATCGTTTGAAGAAAAGTATATGTTTGACATTAAAACATAACCTAACGAGTTCCCTCTGTCCAGCTCTTTCAAGTTTGAAGCAGCAATGGTGGCCAGTTGGTATTCACCATGTTTCTTGCAACCGGCAAGTAATGCACTCCACACAACACAATCTGGCTTCATAGGCATCTCTCTTACCATCTTCTCCGCCTGAAAAATCTTCCCAGCCCGGCCAAGTAGATCAACGATACAGGCATAGTGATCAAGTTGAGGAGCAATACCATATTTAGCAGACATGCTATTAAATATCCTAGTCCCTTCTTCAACCATCCCAGTATGGCTACAAGCAGAGAGCAAAGCAACAAAAGTTGTTGCATCAAATTCAACATCCATGTTCTCGAACAACTCCAGTGCCTCCTGTTTCCCATGGAATGCATAAGCTTTTAAGATGGAGTTCCATGAAACTGTATCCCTTAAACTCATCTCATCAAAAACCTGCCTAGCCTCAGTGATTGAGCCACATCTTCCATATGCATGCATGAGTGCATTTTGAAGCACTAAATAATCTGTAAACCCAGACTTTTTACATTGGCAGTGCAACATCGAGGCATGTCTTTCCGTCACGAATCCAGCACAAGCTTTTAGTGCAACAGAAAAAGCAAAGCCATCTGGAACCAACCCTTCTCTATGCAGCTGACTGAAGAGAAAAAGAGCTACCTCAGGTTCTTTTTGAGAAAACGTTGCCATAATTTCAGTCCACAAAATGATATCTCCACACCCACGAACTTCAAGAAACAACATGTAACAATCATCAACATTTCCTTCAAGAAAGGAGGAATATGCTTTAATCAAGGCGGTCACAACCTCTACATCTAGCACAAACCCGGTCTTTAAGCTAATACAATGCAGTTGAGAACAAAATTTAAGGCTCCAAGAAAGATCATTAAGGACTTTACACAACGCAGAAAATACAGTGACCAGTGTGGCCCGGTCAAATCCCATACCGTCAGAATGCATCATTATGAAAAATCTCATAGCCTTGTCACCTTTGCCACTCTTATGAAAACCTGCTATCATTGAATTCCAAGAAACAAGATTACGAAACTCCATATCACTAAATATCATCCAAGGTTCATTGCCATCATTGCATACACTCATCTCAAAATTCTTGGAATACATCCCGATCAGCGCATTAGCCACATGAACAAAGGTGTTATAACCAGTTTTCAGAGTGTGCGTGTGCACTTGCCTACCGCGGAAACCATCACATGTTGAAAGCAAGCTAGCATACACAAAATCGTTAGGTTTGTGAAGAGCTAGCATATCGCAGAACAAGCTGAAACATACATCAGCTTTCCCACAATGGGCGTAACCGGAAATAAGCAAGGTCCAAGATACAACATTTCTACGATGCATTTGATCAAACAGTTGGTGGGCACGGTCCAATAGGCGGCACTTTGAATACATGTTTAGAAGGTGATTGGCAGTATAAAGGTCATAGAAAGCAATCGGGTTGTGTGCGATCATGTGTTGATGGAGAGCTTGACCAACATCTATGCAGCACAGTCGTGCACAGGCGTGGAAAAGAATGGCGTAAGCATGGTAGGAGTGAGAATCATTTGACTTTAAAGAGTAGAAAATTGAAAGGGTTTCGACGAGAATGTCATATGTTGGCCTTACACACAACCTCTGCAGAACGGTGTCAAGCTCAACGGTGGCAGGAAAACTAGTCGTGTTTAAGCTTTGGAGGTGTGTGATTATTGGTCTAGCTCGTAACACACTTTTGCAGAACATTTGGAGAGTTTCAGTCCGTGTAGTTTGGGTGAACCAAGTACCTTTCAAGCTTCTGCAATTTGTTAACATACGATCATCCTGAAAGTCATTGATGTCATTAAGACAAACAGACATTTAAATACCTCATTCAATAAAAAATGTCTAACCACTCGGTATTCAAAACAAGACGTAGTAATAATGATATTGATCCATCAATGGATGTACTCATGTACCAAACAGTTTAATTTATTATCACCAACGTCGTAGCCAGGACAGAGGTTCGGGAGAGGGTGTAAACTAAATCCTCTATGCAAAAAATTTAAACGAATATTTAAAAAAAAATCTTTAACAGCCAGTGACTTATTTTTTCTGTTTTCCGGACTTTTCCCTGCTCAATTTCATGCGTATCATAAACTAATTCTTCTTCAACTGGTAAGATATTTGAAGTTTCAGTCAAGTCATTTAACTCGTGTGTTTTCTTTACCTATAGTAGGGGATTTTGCCTTTTAGAATTAGATGGGATAGTCATACCTACTTAAATTGACAGAAATCCATATATTATTCCAATCACATATTCAATATGAATATGTTGAGAAATTCACAATCCAATTTTCAATTTCCCAATTGAAATCATACGATGACACAAATCAATCACATATTATCAAATTCGAAAAAATGTAGAACAAATTCACAATTTTCATTTGAACAGTTAAACCGTTAAAAAAACATTCCAGATTTCAAGCTATTAGATACGTAAATTAAAACAAACAATTTAAACAAATAACAATAAAGCCTTACTTCCTTTAAAAAAACAATAAAGCGTTGGCTGGGGATTAAGGGCGAATGGGCGATTAGCTGTTAGCAAGGAGAAGCCAGCTGCAGCACTCCAGAACTCCAGAAGCATACTAGTAGAGTAGCAGGCACGCCAGGAAGAAGCGGTGGGCGGCTGGGTGGCGGCCTGCTGGCATCTTAGAGCATCATATACAATGTGGCATTGATGTGGCATAAGAGACCTACAATAAATATTTGGATAAAGTGGTGTGTAGAGAAAAATGAAAAAGAGGAGAGAGATAGAGGTAAAAATGGACCAAGGTCTATGACAAGGTCCATATATGGACCTTACACGGGATTCGGGATTCGAGGAGGAAAAGTTGATAAAAAGTGAGTTAAAAGTGATATAAAAAAATGAAAATGAAAATAAATTAGGAATTACGTGGGTCTTACACATAAAAATTATGAGATAAAAAAATGGGACGCATGCGTAAAGGTGTGTAAGAGACCACACCCTTACATTGGAGTTGCTCTTAGCGACTGAGCCGGCTGAGCATTTGAGCCACTGCGTGAGCATTCAAAAATTTGAATTGTTAGCTGAAATTTGGTATGAGTAACTAGACTTAATGAATAAGATCTTAAAAGAATTCATCAAAAAAATTCATCGAGAACTGCTCCAAATGGCAACATAGTCTTCTATATAAGGGTTTATTTGACATAAGTTTGATGGCCTATTTGACCCATTTTCCCATTCTTTTTATTATTATTACCATTATTTATTTATTTCATAATTTATCCATTTTCAAAATTTTAAAAAAGCAGTTCTAAATATTTTCAAATATTTAGAACCTTCCCGATTGAATTTGGTATGAGTAATAAGACTTAATGAATAAAATACTAAAAAAATCATCAAAAAATTCCACCGGGAACTGCCCCAAATGGCGACAGAGCCTCGTATAATCCTATATAAGGGCTTATTTGACGTAAGTTCGAGGTCCTATTTGACCCTTTTTCCTATTCTTTTTATTATTATTACCATTATTTATTTATTTATTTCTTTATTTATTCATTTTCAAAATTTCAAAAAAGCAGTTCTAAATATTTTCAAATATTTAGAACCTTTGGTTCGAACGGTAATATAACTATTAATATATTTTCAAAAAATAAAGTATGTATTAATATATTTTCGAAACACACACATATATAACTATTAATATTTTTTAGAGATATATATAACTATAATTAATAAAGTATATAACATATATTTTCCAAATATAGATATAACTATATTAATATTTTGGAGTGATATACCTAACTATATATAGGCTGAGAAGCTGCGAAGTCTAACTTATAAGCTAAAGATACGAACTTTTAACCAATAAATCATAACTTATAGACCCCCTCCAAAAAAATTACGAAAATGCCACCGCGTCAAAATAACTCCGGAAACCTGGAAATTTTTTTTGACGCGGTGGCATTTTCGTAATTATTTTTGAGGGGGTCTATAAGTTAGGATTTATTGGTTAAAAGTTCGTGTTTTTTGCTTATAAGTTAACTTCGCAGCTTCTCAGTCTAAGGGCACTTCTCACCTGATCCGCTCCCTATATGTGTGTGTGTGTTGAATTTTGTGTTGTTATTCCCCTAAATTGATGATGAGATTATTGTGTTGAGCGTTTCATTTTCATATCTCAACATTCAGAAGTCTATATATATATATATATATATATATATATATATCTGTTCTAAAAATCGTTCTAGGCGCCCGACTAGTCCCCGCCTAGGCGCTAGGCGGTGGTCGGGCGCCCCGATTTTCGTCTAGGCGCTCTGACTAATTGATTTGCCGTCTAGGTGAATTAGTCAGCCGCCTATGGTGTCTAGTTGCCCGCCTAGAGCGCCTAATCGGCCGCCTAGGCCGTCTAGATTCGCTAAACATTACTTCACTTTTTAATTTTAATTTTCTAAGTGATATACGTATTTTAGCTTTAGCAATGGATATAAAGAAATGAAATTGTAAATTAAGATAAAACTATATAGTTTGTATATATACCTAAATTTTATCATTATTTATATTTATAACATAATGAAGTTAAATGATTAGTTATCATATACCACGTATGATTAAATGTGATAATTCTATCATTCATGTTTGTTAATGTATATGTATATATGTATTTTATACACACAAAAATACCATATTACTTATCATATTTATGCAAAATATAGATAAAAATGCAATTTTTATGTTTCTGACTAATCCCCGACTAGGTGCCCCGCCTAACCGCCTAGGCGCTAAGCGTTGGGCTGGCGCCCGAGTAGCGCCTAGCGCCTTTTAGAACATTGATATATATATATATATATATATATATATATATAGAGAGAGAGAGAGAGAGAGAGAGAGCCGGCCCTGACATGTAGAAGGCCCCGTGCAAAATTGAATATGAGGCCTCAAGTATAAAACACTATATTAATACTTCCACCGGTTTTAAATAATAGTTTCCTTAGATTTTTTGTGGGTTTTAAGAAGAAAATAGTAGGTGTAGTATAGAGGTGTAAGGTAAATGGAAAAGTAGAAAAGAGAATATATTAAGAAAAGTATAGTAATGACAAAGTATGAAAAAGAAAGTAGTTACAAGCTCGTTCCAAACTGTACGAGGGCTTTGTGCTAATTACTGTAACTAGGCCCTGTGAAATAAAGAATTACACAATTGTAATTAACAATTGCATTTTAATTACATATAAATATTACTATTTAATGATTGTATTTAAAGAAGTACTAAGATAGAAATTTTTAATCAAATAAATAAAGATTTATTATATTATACGAAGTATATATAGACTATATTTAAAATTTTGGGCCTTCTGAAATCGAGAGACCTTGTGCGGTAGCACTTCTTGCACACCCTCATCTACGGCCATGTATATATATATATATATAGTGGTGGATATATATATATATATATATATATATATATATATATATATATATATAGAGAGAGAGAGAGAGAGAGGGAGAGGGGAATGATCAGGTCCAGCCGGAGGGACGGGAGGCGGCGTATACGAACCGAATCGAGTCGAATAGTAGGATTTTGTATTTGTATTTGTTTAATTTTTTCGAATACGAATTCGAATTCAAATATGAAACGAATATTAATTCCGATTTGTATTTGTATTTGTTTAACAATACGAATAGTTAACGAATCTTATACGAATATCGAATAGATTTGAGCATAGGTTAAATATTAGTGAAATATCACTTAAAATTAAATTTTCTTATATTTTTTTATGTTGTAAAGTATGCTATGATTTAATATGTGTTTTTAGAATTTAGATTCAATGGATCAATGCATTTTTAGATTGTGCACGATATACTAAAGTGAATCAATTTTATGATTAATAAATATAAATATATTTCAAACTCTTTGAAAAACACTAACACACACATATTAAAAATTACACTTACAATGTGTGAAATAAGTTGATAATTGTATATATCAAAGTCAGATGATTCTAATTTTATTCTGTGAATCGAATACATAATTATTTATATTGTATTTGAAAGACATTTGAACCAAAAATCCGATTTGTATTCGTATTTATACTCTGATTTATTACAAATGAACTTAGAATCTGTATGCGTAAATGTACATATGAACTACACTTTAAGATATTGCTATCTTTTAAAAGTTATTATAGTGTTATTATAATTATTAATATTATCACTATTATTAATCGAATATATGTGATTAATATTCGAATCGAATACACTGATATTCTTATTTGTATTTGATAACAAATCGAATCAAATTTAATATTCATATTTGTATTTGTATTTGAATTTTCCGAATTCGAATCGTCTTATACGAATTCGAATCGCGAATCGAGCACAAATTATTTGATTCGTTTACAACCCTAAACCCTAGGAGGCGCCGTCCGAACTCCGCCGTTTGGGGCGGTTCCCGGTGGAATTTTTTGATGAAATTTTTTGAGCATGTTCTTCATCAAATCTAGTTTGTCCATACCAAATTTCAGCTCAAAATTCGACCGGGAAGGCATTCAAATTATTTTTTGAAGTTGACTGCGCCAAAATATACATATAAAAATGCAGTCAACTTCAAAAAATGATTTGAATGCCTTCCCGGTCGAATTTTGAGCTGCAATTTGGTATGAACAAACTAGACTTGATGAAGAACATGCTCAAAAAATTGCATCAAAAAATTACACCGGGAACCTCCCCAAACAGCGGAGTTCGGACGGCGGCTGGATCGGGGAGGGCTGAACCTGATCTTTTTTGTATATATATAGAAATAATTACATGAATGAGCAAAATAAAGATGTTTTACAAAAATATGATTAGTTACTAGAGTAGTAATGAAATCATAGTAATTCATGTTCAAGTTTTGAACTTAAGTTACTACAACACCACCTTATAGTAATGAATAGTTATATTTATGTAAATAAGTTTTATTTTAGTAATATTCTTGTAAAAAACCCATATATATATATATACATATATATATAACTATAATTAAAATAAAGTATGTATTAATATATTTTTGAAATATATAGTACTATATTAATATTTTTTAGAAAGATATATAACTATATATATAACTATATACTCGTAGTAATATATATTTTTGAAATGTAGATAAAGACTTATTTGCAAAAATGTGATCACTTTTATATTTGGACAAAAATGTGCCTAAGAAGATCATATTCATGGATTTTATTGTCACTATTCAGTTTTAATGTCACTATCAAATGTCACTGTTGCCACCACCAGTGTCACTGTAGCGACCACCCGTGTCACTGCAACCACTGTCCGTGTCACTGTAGCCACTGTCCGTGTCACTGTAGTCACCACTCGTGTTACTGTAGTCACCGCGCGTGTCGCATTAGCCACCGCTAGTGTCACAGTGGTCGTTTTCGTTTAGTGATGCAGCCCGCCTTAGTCACTGTGGCCACAACCGGCCGCCACAATGGCGGTTGTGATCGCAACACCCCTGCCCTGTCCCACTACCATCACCACAGCCCTGCACTACCCCATCACTCCAGCCTAGCCCTGCCCACATCACCCCAGACCTGCCCACATCACCCCAGACCTGCCTCAACATTTCAGCCCTACCCCACCCCATCAGCCTAGCCACGCCCCACCCCCACAAGCCCTGCCCCAGGCTCCCAGCTCTCAGCCCTAACCCCAACCGGCAGCCCCCAGCCCTTAGCCCCAACCCCAAGTC